GCAAATAACAAAAAGAAAAGGCAAAATAAAAAAATCAATATAAAAACAAATGCAAGTAAACTGGTTTCTCTCTCTCTTTTTTTCCTTCTACTACTCCACCGTGCGTTTCCCTTAAAGAAAGAGTGTGTGTGTTTGTTTTTGGTTGTTAAAAAAACCAAAACAAGTGAGAAATTAATTAAAATTACAAGAAAATAAATAAATAAAAGAAATTCTTGCACAATTTCATATAAATAATACAAATTTTTACCACTAAATTAAGAAAAATCAAAATTTTCTCCAAAAATATAAGTGTAACACAAAACCTGCATAAAAAAGTGTTTTTTTTTTAATGTATAATCAAAATTTTGTAAAAAAAATCATAAAGAAAATTGTAAAGTGCAATATTTAAAGAAAAAAAATCATCATTATTACAAAATCAAATTGTTGAAAGAAAAAAGCAAGAAATTCAAATATTGGCCAAGGTTTTGAAAATTAAATAAAAGAAAAATTCTATCAAAATAATATATTATTTCTGTGTATGTTTGTTTATATATTTTTTTCTTTATTTATAATTATTTTATCTATATTTTCCTCTCTTCAGTTTATAACATTGTAGTTGTTGTGTGTTTAATTCTTTTTCTTTATTTTTCTGTTTTTCTTAAGAAAATCGATTGTATTGTGGGCCATACCATAAAGGAATAAAAACGCCAAAAATTAAAAAAAAAATACTCAATTAAATGAAAAAGATTCTTATTTGATTTTAAATATTTGTTTGTTTTGCAAATTTCATTCATTTAAAATAATAACAACAACAATAATAACAAAAGCAGCACAAACAAAAACAAAATCAACACAAATTAACGCCCCACCTTTGACTTTTTGCATTTTGTTCCTGTAATGTTGTTAGTGTGTGTGTGTGTTTGTGCATTTTAAAAATACAAATTACTCTCGAGAAATATTGACTGTTAAATGTGAATTTTAAAGGATTTATTTTGAAATCAATTAGATAAAGATTTAAGTGCATAGAAATTGATAATTTTATGAAATATTTGTAAATTTAATTGAAGAAAACTTTAATTCTATAATAAAAATGTACCTATGTCTCTCCACCGAAAATCGGTAGTTTTCTCTTTAAAACGCATTTTTAATTGTTGTTCAAGTTAAAATTGTCAGAGTTTTTTAATTCGATTGTAGTTTTTGAAACATCTTTAGAAGGACATAACTCTTCTACTGTTTAAAAAAGTTAGAAACTTAATTAATTTCACTACAAATTTTTAACCCAGAGACTAAAATGTACTTTTCTAAAGGATTGAGCAGCGCTGAATCCGAAACTGGCCTAAGAATTTCTTCATTACATCTGGGATTCGAGTTTTTGTCAGTTTATTGTTGTATCAAGCTTTAGGTGAAGATATCTCGAATATAAAAGAAGATATGTCAGATCTTTCTAATTTTTTACATAAAGTTGTCTTGGTGCTGTTATAACGAATCAAAAAGAGATAAAAATAAAGATTTTTTAAATTTCAGGACATGATATCTCAAATTCCAGCTGTGATAGAGAAAATCTAAGGTCAGATTCGTATGCAGCGCTGCCCAGTCCTTTACAATGAAATGGTCTCAGGGATTCGACATTTTTAAAATTTTTCCAGTTTTTTTTTACCCATTTTATGGAACTTCAAAATCATTTTTGACCGATACTTTATTAAGAAAGCTACTTTTTATTTTTGTATGTTTTTCTTTTAGTAATTTTTTTCCAAATTCTGTTAAAATTGGCCATAATTTAAAAGTTTAATAAGTTTCTATTCAAATACGTTTAGATTTAATTTAAAAATAACATAACAAAATAACAAAGCCAAAAATGGATTTAAAATTTCAAAATTGGAAAAAATTCAAATTTGAACATTTGGACGAAAAAAGATAATTTTGTTGATTATTATATTTTCCAAAAATTCATTCCCAATACTAACTCGATTTCTAAATAGAACTTTCTGTAAGAAAATTGTAATATCTCCAATAAATTATATATATACTGTTTTATAAAGTGAATAATTTATATTTAATTGTTTTTCTTTGCAAATTAATTTATTTAACAATCTTCTTTATAACAAAATTGCAGTATAACAATTTACATAAATTTTCTGTAATAACAGTTTTATACTTTTTCCCATAGAAATTTTTTTGTCCGTATATGAAGTTTGTGAATAATAGTTTTAAATAGGAATTATGTCAGAAAATTGTAATTTCTCCAGTAAATTATATGTATGTATAACAGTTTCAAACATTAAATGATTTTTATTCTGTTTTCCTTTACAAAAGTATTTATTTAACAGTATTTTATTCTTAAAAATTTCGTGATATATCTTTTTTTTATAAAAAATCTCAGTATAACATTTTTTACACAATATTTTAAAGCTTCTGTTTAACACTTTTCTATATAAAAATTCACTTGTATAAAATTTATGTATAATAGTTTTTTTATAACAATTTTTCTATACATATTTTAAAAATTTTCAGTATAACAGTTTGATTTAGAATATTTTCTAGAATATCTTTTCTAATAAAAAGATTTAAAAATAATATTATAATTTAAATTAAAAATTTTACAGGGTAAAAGTTTTTTTCTATAAATATTTTCAGTATAACAGTTTTTTTAAAGAATATTTTCTAAATTACAGTATCATCACTAGAAATTTGTTTGTATAAATTTTTTTTTTGTTTTGGGTGGTACAGAATTATTTTGGAAATTTGTCTGTATAAAATAAATTCACTGTATAATAGTTTTTTTTAGCATACAATTTGTGTATAACAGTTTGTCATGGAAAATTTTTCGTAAATAAAGTGTTTTCTTTAGAAATTTTTATATATATGTATGTGTATAGTATAACTTAACAGTATAACAGTTTTCCTAAACAACAATTTTTGTTTTTATAATAATTTTCAGTATAACAGTTTATTTTTAGAATATTTTCTAAGTTACAGAAACTTCTCTAGAATGTTTTTGTTTAACAGTTTTTTTTATACACATTTTTAAAATTTTGGCTAGTTCAGTATTATTTATAGAAATAACAGTTATTTCTGCATAAATTTTTGTGTATAACAATTTTCTATGGGATTTTGTAAATAAAGTTAGAACGTTTTCTGTATAACAGTTTTCTAATACAACAATTTTACAGCATAAAATCTGTTTCTATAATAATTTTCAGTATAACAGTTTCTGTTTATAATATTTTTTAAATAACAGTATCTTCTGGAGAAAGTCTTTTCGATACACATTTTCAGTATAACAGTTATTTTATATATAATATTGGTTGAATAACAAATGTTTTTTGAATAGAAGTTTACAGTATAAGAGTTTTTCTTCATATGATTTTGTATAAAAGTGGTATAACAGTTTTTTTTGTATATACAATTTTAATATAACAGTAGCCGTTTTACTTTCCGTTATTCAATTGTAATAAAATTAATTTAAAATATGTAAATTCTAAACTTTCTGAATTTTTTGACATTTTCTTTTTGTGAAAAATTTGGTTTTTCAATATTTGTTTAAATATGTATTTTGAAGATTATTTCAATAATTGCAAACTAATTAAAAAATATTCTGATATAAATATACTGCTAATTAGTAATTAGTACAAAACTATTTGTTTTACCTTTACTGACTTAATTTTTCGAGTGAATTTATATGTTTGCTTGTTTATTTTGTTACTGTAACATAATGTGTATTTTTTGTTGTTTCTCTGTTTCTTTATTTCTTGTCGTTTGTTGTTTTTGTATTTTGCACATTATGGGCATAAACATTATGATAAATTTGAGGGTGGTTGCAAATGACGTATAAATAAATGAATGAATAAGTGCATTAAAACAAAAACAACAAGAAAAACAACAAAAAATTGCTTTGTTGTTTGTTTGACAACTGACTTGGTTGACTTGTGAACATTGCACCAGCACATAAATTGACATTAAAAAGTCACACATAAAAATGTACACATGCATTAAAAAAAACACACACACAATAAAAACATAAAAAATGAGAAAAAAACATGTATTTTAATTTGTCATTTGCTTAAGCAAAAATTTTTAATAAATTTATGTATTACATGCAAAAAAATACACAGCAACACACACACACAAATATTACACAATGCAATTTTTCATGTTTTCTTTTGTTATTGTTGTTTTTTTTTACTACTGTAATTTGCATAAGAAACAAATACTATACATACTCATGCATACAGCTATTGCAAAGGGAAAATTAACAACAAAGACAAGGTATACAGGAAAAATATAATAAAGAAGAAGAAGAAGCAACAGCAGCAGTAAAGCCAGAATATGTTAAAGCACATGACAACACTTGGGGAATTTTAAATAATATGCAAAAATAACAGCAGCAACAACAATAATATCACTGTTTTTTAAACAGAGAGCGAGATAGTTGACTGCCGAGTGAGAGTAGTTTTGTTTTTAAAAGAGTAATAAAAAATATATCACAGTTACATTTGTATGTAAATAAGCATGTACTTATTGCTAGTATGTATGCAAATGAGCAATGTAATGTAAACTAAATTTTAAAGAGACCAGGTGGTTTTTCTTCTATTTTTAGGGAAGAGGTAATAAGATTTGTTTACAAATAATAGATTTTATTAAACTTTCAAATTTTGAGAGAAGATCGAATTATCTTTTATTATAGAAACAATTCTAGACAGTTTTAGTTATTGGTCTTCTTAACAATACAATCGATTTTGCTTCTTCTTTTTTCGAAACTTTTCTATACAACATTTAAATTTTATAATTTTTATTAAAATTTTAAAAAATCTCTTTTCTCTTGCAGGCATTTAAAGAAAAAAATAAAAATTAATTCTTAAAAAAATATAATCAAGTGTAAATATTAAACAAAAATAGTTAAAGAAATTTATAAAAATAATAATAATTATAACAAAACGTGAGCTGTAGTTAAAGGATAAAAATAATCTAATAAATTATTACCAAATACTTAAAGATTTATATCGAACGTGCTACGTTGCAGCATGTCGACAACTTCGTCCATTGAAACGCCAACTTCACCAACGGGTCCACTACAACATCAGCCACTGCAACACAATACAAATCGTAGTAGTCATCAACATACAGCATCGTCGCATCAACACACTACGAGGGCTATTGTAGTCAGCGCTGGCGCTGGTCCACATAATAATCCCTATACACAAACTACCACTACTACAGCGGCTGCAAACAGTAACGTTTCCCAACAGCTAAATAATAAACGTTCTCATTCCACTTCCTCGTCAGCGAACGGGTCTTCCTGCCATAACGGCGGCTCCTCGTCCTTTAATCCCATGGCCAATAATATGATTTCGCATGCCAGTCACAATCAGCAGCAACAACATCATCAGTATAATAATCAATCTTCTACTCATTCACTTTTAACACCCTCATCCTCGAACGCTTCGTCGCCCTCTGCATCGGCTAGTGCTTCTACTGCTGCTGCTGTGGCCGTTCATCAGCAGCCACAATACTCCCACAATAATCATTCAACTAATTCATATTCAGCTCAGCAACAACAACAACATCATCATCACAATAGTTCTTCTACTTCGTCGGCTTCGTCCTCCTCATTTTCCCATCAAAATCATTCTTCAACACATTCTCATACACAATATCAACAACAACTACCACATCAACAACAACAACAACAGCATCATAATCATCATCACAATCATTTGCAATTTGCAAGGCCATCGACGTCAATGTCAGCTCCTTGTACAGCCGCCACCTCTTCGTCGCAAAACAGCTCGTGCACACCATGCAGCATTAAACGTCATACTACAGATGTTTCTGTTTGCTCTTCATCGTCCTCCTCTTGCTGTTCATCGGCCTCATCTAATTCGGTCTCAGCTGCAGGTGGCGGCCATAGTGCTGCTGGAGGAAGTGGAGGTGGTGGTGGTGGTGTTGGTGGCAGTGGCTCAGCAGGTGTAGGCCAAGGAAATGCCCATATTGTTACTCCGGCCGTGATTACGCAAAAATCGCGTACTATACCCTCGGACAAGGTGAGTTTTAAAAATATCTTCCTCTTTCCTTCTCTCTCCCACTCTTTCTCTCTTTCTCTATTAAATCAAATAAAATTTTGTTAAAAATTTTTACTTGCAAAAAACCATAAGAATTGGTTTATTTTTATAAACTCTCCGAGTTGTACTTGTATAATGTAAAAGCTGCATATTGTAGCATATGTTGAGGCTTTAAATACACTTGTTTTTTTGTAGCATATTTTTAGACATACAAATAATTTACAAATAGTACTACTGCATACCCAGATTTCTCTTTACTCTTTTGTGTATGTGTGTATCTGTGTGTTTGTATTTTACTTCTGTTCTTGAGTTTTTTTTTCTCTACTTACATTGTGGCATGCATTTATGTTCGTTCGTTTTTTTTTTCATCTGGGATTTTTGTTTAAATGTGGGTGGCTGTCGTTTTTTTTTAATTTTTTGCTCTTGTTCATCTTTTGTTGGGTTTCAAAAGGCCTTGCAAAGCTTTTTATTTTTATATTGATTTTTTGTTGTTGTTGTTGCTTCCTTCATATGCTGCTGTAAATTCTAAAAAAAATATAAAAACAAGTTTCATATTCGACGAATCTTAAATATCCTTCACTTAAGCAATTACATATAAGTGATTTTCAGAAAAGAGCTTTATGAACAGCGAGGCGGTCATGGCTAGATCGATCCTTTATCCATAAGGACTCGGAATATATGTATGTTTTAGAGTGTCCAAAAATTATACTGTAGAAATTACAAATGGATTGACAAACTTATATATGCCCTTCGCACGAAGGTGAAGGGTATAAAATACTAGAAAAACACAAGCAGCATTTCAATGTTAACTTTTGTGAAATTGTACAAATTCCCAGAAAAAAAAAAAAAACACATACAAATAGAGATTTTTGCAAACTAGTGCATACTTTTAGGCGAGTTAATGCACAGCAGGTCCATATTGATGATGATGATGATGTGCCTTCAATGTTATAGTCATCATATGTTTTTGGTTTTTTGATTTTATTTTCTCTTCTTCATCTTCTTCTCTAAGTTTAATATAATGCTGAGATTTTGCTTTTGTGTTAAACGATAAGATATGTTTGTTTCTTCGTTTTATATTATTGTCCTGATGAAGTCTATATATACTAATGCTTTTACTATAAATTAAGCTTGCAGCTGTAATAGTCCAACCAGCCATATATTTTTTTATTTTCTTATATTTATTTCATCATGCCCTTCAGTAAGGATTTCGTTAGATTTGTATGCCAATAATCATTGGCAATATTTATTATGTTGAAACTACTTCTATTGTTAAAATCTCGTTTAACATTATTCTTGTTTTTTTTTTCTTTGTGTTTTGTTGTTGTTGTTGTATGGTGTGGGTAGTAAAACATTTTAATATTAAAAAATTGGAAATTTAATGTTTGTTGTTGTTTAGAAAAAAGAAATAAAAATGAAATTTCTTTTAATTTAAATACTTTTAAATATTAGTTTTTATTATAAATCAAACCTTGCCAAGAGGTGACATTCTTTGTTAAGTTGCTAAAGGGAAATTGGAAGAAATGTCGAACTAATTTCATAGTTTTGTACTAATTTTTTTACTTAATTAATGGTATAATAGGGAAATGATTTCTTGTTGCCACATTTACGACTCTTTTAGAATTGTATTAACAGAAAAATTTTACCTTAAAAATGTTTCAATAACAGAGGGCCAATTCGGATTGTAACAATGTTTTGTATACCTTTCACCATCGTGTCTTTCCGTTTGTAATTTGTTACAATATAATTTTCCGACCCTATAAAGTATATACATACATGTGTATATGTATTCTATAACCAAGATCCTTATAGATAGCGGAAACGATTATGCCATGTCCGTCTGTCTGCTGAAATCAATTTTCTGAAGACCGCAGATGTCTTTGGGACATCTTCGGTCTTCAATAATTCCATCTGACATGCTTTCGAGAAGATTCCTATTTAAAATCTGCAAAATGGGTCCATAAAAAACGGAGATATGAGCAAAAATCTGAGACAATCTGAGTTAGTTAGTTAGTTAGTTAGTTAGGTAGTTAGTTAGTTATTTAGTTAGTTAGTTAGTTAGTTAGTTAGTTAGTTAGTTAGTTAGATAGTTAGTTAGTAGTTAGTTAGTTAGTTAGTTAGTTAGTTAGTTAGTTAGTTAGTTAGTTAGTTAGTTAGTTAGTTAGTTAGTTAGTAGTTAGTTAGTAGTTAGTTAGTTAGTTAGTTAGTTAGTTAGTTAGTTAGTTAGTTAGTTAGTTAGTTAGTTAGTTAGTTAGTAGTTAGTTAGTTAGTTAGTTAGTTAGTTAGTAGTAGTTAGTTAGTTAGTTAGTTAGTTAGTTAGTTAGTTAGTTAGTTAGTTAGTTAGTTAGTTAGTTAGTAGTTAGTTAGTTAGTTAGTTAGTTAGTTAGTTAGTTAGTTAGTTAGTTAGTTAGTTAGTTAGTTAGTTAGTTAGTTAGTTAGTTAGTTAGTTAGTTAGTTAGTTAGTTAGTTAGTTAGTTAGTTAGTTAGTTAGTTAGTTAGTTAGTTAGTTAGTTAGTTAGTTAGTTAGTTAGTTAGTTAGTAGTTAGTTAGTTAGTTAGTTAGTTAGTTAGTTAGTTAGTTAGTTAGTTAGTTAGTTAGTTAGTTAGTAGTTAGTTAGTTAGTTAGTAGTTAGTTAGTTAGTTAGTTAGTTAGTTAGTTAGTTAGTTAGTTAGTTAGTTAGTTAGTAGTTAGTTAGTTAGTTAGTTAGTTAGTTAGTTAGTTAGTTAGTTAGTTAGTTAGTTAGTTAGTTAGTTAGTTAGTTAGTTAGTTAGTTAGTTAGTTAGTTAGTAGTTAGTTAGTTAGTTAGTTAGTTAGTTAGTTAGTTAGTTAGTTAGTTAGTTAGTTAGTTAGTAGTTAGTTAGTTAGTTAGTTAGTTAGTTAGTTAGTTAGTTAGTTAGTTAGTTAGTTAGTTAGTTAGTTAGTAGTTAGTTAGTTAGTTAGTTAGTTAGTTAGTAGTTAGTTAGTTAGTTAGTTAGTTAGTTAGTTAGTTAGTTAGTTAGTTAGTTAGTAGTTAGTTAGTTAGTTAGTTAGTTAGTTAGTTAGTTAGTTAGTTAGTTAGTTAGTTAGTAGTTAGTTAGTTAGTTAGTTAGTTAGTTAGTTAGTTAGTTAGTTAGTTAGTTACTTAGTTACTTAGTTACTTAGTTACTTAGTTACTTAGTTACCTAGTTACTTACAAAAGTTACAAAAAAGTTCTTTGTTACGCAAAAAGTCCCTTTGACGCAAAAAATCCCTTTTTTCAAATAGTACCTTGTTACAAAAAAGTATCTTTTTACAAAAAAGTCCCTTTTTCACAAAAAGTTCCTTTTTACATAGAATGTGCCTTTTAACACAAAAGTCCCTTTTTACACAAAAAATCCCTTTTTACATAAAATGTGTCTTTTAATACAAAAAGTCCCTTTTTACAAAAAATCCACTTTTACACAAAAAGTCGCTTTTTACACAAAATGTTACTTTTTACACAAAAAGTAACTTTTTAGACGAAAAGTCACTTTTTACACGAAAAGTCGCTTTTTACACAAAAATTAACTTTTTACACAAAGTCACTTTTTCTACAAAAAGTCACTTCTTACACAAAAAGTTCCTTTTTTTGTTCAATAGCCCCTTTTTATGCAAACTTTTTAAAAACAATTTCATGGTAAAAGTTCTACATATTTCAGAAAGAGTATATTAAACCATTAAAGCCTATTCGGTTAAAGAAGTTTATGAGCGCAACAAATTCTTTTAATTTTTCTTAAAACAAATCCCTTAAACCTCAACTATAAACAAGAAAACAAACACTTTAAAAATTATCTCTACGCCTAAACATATACTTTATATTATTTGATATAAACACCCCACAATATGCTACAAATTCTTATTAACAAATTGTTTTTTTTTTTGTTCATTCTCTCAATTTGTAGTCTGTCTTATTTACTACAACAAATACTATTTAATTATTAAAATAAAAACATGTTGCCGCAAGTAAATCTTCAATATTTATTAACGTCTTAAGCTGATTTTCTCATTAATTACGCAAACTTTAACAAAAGTAAATTAGAAGTAAGCACAACACCAACACTAACACAAAACCCAAACACATGTAAGAACCCCAAACTCCATTTAGAACAGACCCTGCTTCAGTTCCTTCAAACTAAATAAGACAAAAAATATATTTATTTAAGACAAGAGTAAAACTTAATTAACTGAAAAAGAAAAAATATAATACTTTTATCCTTGAAAAATATTAACGAAAACAAGAAAACATACAAGACATTTTCAAGGAGTCAACGAGAGGGAGAGAAGAAAACTAAAAAGGACACACACAAGTTAAGTAAATCACTGCAACGTCAAATGCGTATTAAGAAATACACTTAATGTACAGAAAAATGAAAAAAAAAGAAAATCTATATGTTTAACATACTTTGTTGTTTGTTATTTAAAGTATTTTATGAAAAAAGAAAGAAAGCAAGAAAAAAAACATTAAACAAATAATTTTTGTTAAGCAACAAAAGTCGCGTCATTCAAATGTTATCCCAGACATTTCTAATGGTCGACTAAGCGCCAGACCCCAACTGTTGTATTTCTATTTTTTTTAATTTTCCTTAATCTTCTCTCTCTCTCCTTTATCTATAACATTTCAGTTGCCTTGAATTGGTATTTTGTTGTTTTTTTTTATTTTTGCTTGTTCAATCATACAATTATTGCTTGTTTATTCTTGTGTTTGTTGTTGTTGTTGTTGCTAAGCCTAAATGACATTGTAAATTTGTCTTTACGTTCGTTTAGCCATTAAAAACACTCTCGTTTAAATTTAATTTTTATCATAAAAATCAGCTCGTGCTTCGTCGGTCTGACCACATTTATGGCTGGATTATTGTAATTTCTTTTACAAATCATTAAAAACATATTGTTTTATAATGGTGGATGAGAAATTTAGGGAAATTAATAATAATTTTAAAAATGTAGCATAAAACTGTAATTTGTTATATTTAAATTTAAAAAAAAAC